GGCGAGGAAAGCTGTTTCTTCACTATCTCTTAACACAACCTTGGTCAGTCACAATTTAAAAAAACACAACAAAACCAATTATAAAAAAATTATAAGTGATATTAAGCCTAGCTACAATTTTTTCCTCTCTCTTTTTTTTTTTTTTTTTTTTTCAAAAATATCTCAGACATAAATCTGTATAAACCCTTCAGGTGTGGGTAAGTTAAATAAGGGCCATCATCCTGGCACCAGTGAGTACACATTCTCCTCATGTCTGTGTCCAAAACAGGGCCAGGAAGTGACCTGGGCCACATACATATTTCCTGGCAAAGAGCAAGACTTTGGTGAATAGTACTTCCTGAAACTACACCCTGGCACTATACCAACTCTGCCAGGTTTGGCTGTCTCCACTCTGCCAGCACTGTGAGACTCTGGAACAAGCCACATGTACCCCCATTTTCAGGCTACTAGAACATGTGCAGCACAGCCTTCATCTTATTTCAAATGCTAAGTAGGAAAAATACGATCACCTTTACTGTCACCATTGCCCATTTTCCAACAGAGCAATTCACCCTCCCTTGAAGTTTGGCATCTCTTCAGGTTGTTATGAAAAATGTGTGGACAAGGATGCTGAGGCACTTTGTTACTGCTGTGTGCTCAGGTCCGCTTCTCTGAAAGTCTTCCAGAGAATCAAAATAAGGTGCCTCAGACAGACAATATCAAAACATCCCTGCAGTCCCTGCTATTATTCCAGGTGGCCTGCTGAAAGCACTAGGAAGTGAGTTTTTGCTTTGGGGGGAGGAGGCTAGGACTTATCTAAACCTGTGAATTTACTAAAGCCAGAGATCCTAGCAAGTATGAAAGTTAAGAACACAGGTGCTTCTCTCCATTTACCATCATGTTAGGGGAAACATGATCACTTACAGCTATGAGAAAATGTTTATTTCTGATAATTTTTGGTAACACAGGTAAGTATCACAGAATTTCTTCTAACTGAACATCATAAAAGCTTTGGCAAAAAGAATGATTGAAAATATTTTGTAAATGTTAACCCAGAGAATGTAATGAGGCCAGGAACAAAGGTCTTTATATTACTACAACCAGGCTATAGATGAAAAGGGACATACTTTGGAGAAAGCAGACCCCCCTAAGTCTGGTCCCTGTGCTAACAGAACAACACCACATAAGTCACTGTGGCCAACTCCTGCAATATAAGAATATTGTGAATTCAGAGATTTTCCCAGCTTTTAACACTTTGGGAAAAGTGTTAAAAGGTAAAATCTCTTTTTCTTTTAGTTAGGTTTCTCATTTTTGTAGCTGTATAAATATACTTGAGAACACACTTCCAAGAGGATCAAGAACCAGGAGATATTGCAAGCTGCCTTTACTCTGATCCAATCTTAAATAATTTTAATTCTACTGGTGGAAGGATAGGGGCCTTAGGGGCTTGTCAGCATTGGATGCATTAGTACCCCTTCTATACAATTTACACCTCGGCCCCACAGATGCAAAGATCAGCTCTAAGACATGCAGGGTCCTATTCTTGAGCACACATGGAGATACCTCCTCCTTGCACTTAGTCATCAGCAACCCATTCAAACTCCTGTCGTGGCCCTAGGGCTAACCACCAAGCCTCAATTCAAAGAACCTTTCCCTCACCATTCATTTTTACCAACATTTCATAATTCACCACGCCAGAAGCTTAAGTAGCCTGCTGACTGCTGTACCTTTCTCCCTCCACTTTCTCTTCAAAGCCTTTTGAAACAGCTGCACAACCTCCACCTCCTTCCAATTTGAAGCATAACCATACTTTCCCTTCTAGAAACACAGAATATTTCTGTTTCGCTAACATTTTACATTTGTGTAGCACCTTATTCTTGAAAAATCTTGTCTGGACCCAAAATGACCTCAAGTGACTATCACAGAGGCACTACAATAAAAAAAAAAAAAAAAAAAAAAAAAAAAAAAGTACATCTTGCTTCAAATGCTGTGTTGTTTCCTTGTATGCTGACCTGAGATCCTTGTATATGTTCCCATCTGCACTGTGCTTAGCTGCAAAACTATGAGCCACTGTGACTCCCCTTCTCTGTGCCTGTCCTCATTCAGTCTTTGTCTTGTCTAAAAGATTGCAAGCAGAGGACAGGGTGGGGTCTGACTTCTCTGGTGCTTACAACATTGGGGATCACTTAGGTTTTTAGATTGTATGTTATAAAAAGAGGAACAAGAGTCTTGCAAATCCACTTAAAGTAAGTGGATTACAGTAAGGCTTTTATAACATCGATGACTGTTCTGTTTCAGCACATTTAGGTTATGCTTATTTCTATTACCTTTCCTTTGAATTAAACTAGTTGAAGCACACAGCCAAGGGGAATATAGGTATTGTTTCTAATAATCCAATTCCACGGCAAGTTAATGAGGGAAATAAGTAATTTTAAAGCTTTCTAAAATAGAATGAGATTTTTTTAACAAGAACTTCACATGGTCAATTCATTAAGTGTCTTGGTATACCAAGATCTCAAATTTGGAGGCTTCCCCCCTCATTAGAAACACCATCAGTTCAGTCCATTGTCTATAAGCATATCCTGCACATGCTTATGGTCAGTGGATAAGATACACCCTTATGGTGGGTTGACCCCAACCAACAGCCAAACACCCACCCTGACTCCCTCTCACTCCTCTCCTGCAGGATGGGGAAAAAATAAAAGGAAGGCAAGAAGACTCATGGGTTGAGACAATGACAGTTTGATAGGGAAACAAAAGATGCACATGCAATCAAAGAAAAACAGGAATTCTTTCACTGCTTCCTATCAGCAGATAGATCTTTAGCTACTTCATGGGAAGCAACACCTCCACATGCACAATGGTTGCTTGGGAAGACCACCATAACCACAAACATCTGCCCTTCTTCCTACTTTCACCAAGTTTTCAATGCTGAGCATAACATCAAAAGGTACGGAATATCACTTTGGTGACTTTGGGTCAGCTATTTCAGCCCTGTCCCCTGCCAACCTCTTGCTCATTCCCAGCCTACTCACTTGGGAGTGCATGGGGGAGAGAAAGCCTTGAGAGAAAGCAAACAATGTTCAACAACAGACAAAAAAAGTGGTGTTATCAATTTTCTTAGCCACAAATGCAAAGCACAGCACTATGCAGGCTGCCATGAAGAAAGTCAACTCCATCCCAGACAGACCCAGTACAATCTCAATCCCTTATTCCATACCATTCACATCATGCTCGGGTCACACATTATCTGATACATCTAAGTATTCTTTGTCTCATTCATACATTGTTTAACTTCTATGCCCTGCTCAAACCCTTTCATTCTATTTCTCATTCCTGAAATGTCTTCTTACCAGCAATTACAACTTATATTACATACTTAAACCATCTTTACACCCAATAGTCAGGTTTATACATCCTCATTAACCACTATATCCTTGTCCCTTGACATATACACAGATATTATCCCCCTCATTCCATGCTCCTCCTCTCCCAAATGTCCATAACAGTCCATTACTTTGGTCCTGTCTCTCAAGATCACTCAGGACAGGAGAAACGGTATAATGAATTGTTGAGCACCAAGACTGCTTAGGTTGGGTCAGTGCTGCACTCACGTGGTTCCTTGTGAGGCTCATTCTCTGTTGGTTCAGGTGATGCCTGATGTATTACTTCTTATATCATACAAGTTAAATCATGGATTATTTTCCCCCAGGGATAAGTCTCCTTGAGGTACACACCAGATTTCTACTTCCTTCTACACTACCCACCAAGTACACCTGAGTCCTTGAGAGAAGACAATCCAACAAATGGGCTTTCCTTTTCCCAAGGGAGAGCAACCCACACTGCCTTTCCCAACCACTTAGATGTACTACAGGGACATCATCTCCTCCCACAGTATGTAGGGGCTTTGTCTAGGCAAAACCAGGGCAGTCAGATCACCTGATGTTAACCAGCCAAACGGCTTTTGCTAAATTTACAACCCACTGCTTCCATTCCCCAGTACTCTATGCTCTCAGCTTAGTCTATAACAGTCCATTGTATCATTTAGTCTTACCAGAGGCTTGTGGGTGACAGGGTACATGATGTACCAAACCAATGCCATATTCCTCAGGCCCAGGAGTGTATGAGGTGATTTCAGAAATGAGTTACACTGTCTGACTCAACTCCTTCTGAGGTACCATGACACAGAGCTTGACTTTTAAGGCTCAGGATGGCATTTCAAGCAATGGCATGGTTTGCAGGGTATGTCTCCAGTCACCCAGTAGACGCTTCCACCATGGTAAACACACAGCACTTGCCTTCACAGGTTCAGAGCAGTGGTCCAGTATAGCCAATTTGCCAAGCCTCGCCATACGGATATCCCAGCCACCTCCCTCCCTCTATTCTAGGGAGATTTTACTCACATGGGTCACTTGATTGCAGTGCATATTTCACATGTGTGATGTCCTCAACAGTCAGGGACACCCCTCAATCACAAGCCCATTTTTTCATTGTGTCTCTCCTACTGTCCTTATCTTGAATTCTTCAAGCTTTTTCAGCCTATTTTCTCCCCTGTCCTGTATAAGAGGGGAGTGAAAGCAGCTTGGTGGGCATCTAGCTGCAGGCCAAAGTTAACCCATCACAGCCCTTTTTACTGGCATCCAACATGGGGCACACAGATTTGAACCAGTAATCTCTTGATCTGCAGTCAAATGCTGCTGGCCCAGGTCAATCCACCACAACCCAAACCTGATCCCTTTAAGACATTTCTTATAGCTGGAGAAGGCTCATGCCCAGAGCAAAGATCAGGCTTGTCTCAGATGATCTCCTTGACTGAGTTTTTGAGTATAGTTATCAGTAAAACAAAATTCAAAGCTGCCAAGAAATGCATGTGATTCGCACTTCTGCAGGCAAGGGACAAGGCAGCCTATCAAGGTGTCAAACATATTCAGTGAAACTTGGTTAAATAAATCATCTTTTAAATCAACCTTTGCCCAATCAAAGTCCGGCCTTACTTATAGGTACAGCCACAGGAGAGACAGCAAAAGAGAATTCCTGTGAAGGCTGCTCCACAGAGACACACAGGTAAGACATTTATTTTTTGCTAATTCCTCTTCCCTTATAAAACTTGTTTTTACAATTCCAATAATTTCACATGTAAAGCTTTCTCGGATTAAAAGGAGTAGTATGCAGTGCACTGTAACCTTCCTTCCATTTTTAAATATGAAGAAATAATCTTTCCCATAAAATCCTACTGTTTCTTCAGCTTTTTGTACCACTTGTTTTGCATGTTAACTTCAGGAATGAGTAAACATTCCCTGTGTTTGTCAAGAATAACTGCTTTGAGTTGTAGTTGCAATCAGTGCAGTCTGATGTGTTCCAAACAACGTCCAAATAATAGGGCAATACACCCCTATATGGAATTAGTCCCAGTGCAACTACACAGAGACCCAAAAAAGCCCAATGCACCTGACGAAGGACAAGTGAATCATGATCTGCTGGCTTCCTATCCCTGCATGCTGAAATTCTCCATATTCTCCAGCTTCAGTGACATGTGCCAAGCCCACCACCACACATCCATACCGTTCTATACGCTGCTCAGCTAACCTCAGCAATGCACTGTCAGTTTCAATAGCAAACAGCCTGTGTAGCATGGGTAGCCACAGAGGCTGTTCTGCAGCAGGCTGCCACCGTGGAAGGATTTGACTGCCAGCTACTTCTAAAAAAAAGGAAAAGAAAAAAAGGCCAATTCCCACATACATTAGTCACACAGGTAATATAAAGAGAAGAAAAACCACAGAGTTGCAAAGAAATCTTTACATGAAAACAGATGAATTTTCTTAGTATTTATTAGGCTGTGATTAATGGCTAATCTCTGCAACACAACTTTGGCCTTTTGACAGACTTCTGTCAGTAGAGAGAGGCAGAAAAAAAACCCCTTTCCAATAAAACACAACTCAAGCCTGTTAATTACCCGGACTTTCCAGCTGGAGGAAGTTGTCTTCATTCATCTTGTTCCTCTGTCATCATAGGATCTTCTGGAGTTGTTTCCTGGTCACAACTATTGGTTACTTTCAGTAGGTGGTACTCCTACTGACAATATGCATCACCCAAACCTGAGCTTCGTTACATCATAAAAGCATAGTTTAGGTTGGAAGGGACTTCTGGAAGTTATCTGGTCCAATGGCCCTATAGAAAACAGGACCAACTTAGATGGGGTTGCTTGGGGCCCCTCCAGGTAAGTGTCTCTATGGACAGAGGTTCCACAGCCAATCTGGGCACCTGTTCTAGTGTCTGACAGCCCCCATGATGCAAAGTTGTTCTTATGGCTGTTTAATTGGAATTTCCCTTGCTGCAGCCTCTGTCTGTTGCTCCTCATCCTACCACTGTCACCTTCTAAGAAGACTCTGGCTCTGTGTTCTCTACACAATCCAGTTGGACAGTTGAAGACATCAGTGAGATCTTCCCTTTACTTTCTTTTCCCAAGACTGAACAAACCCAGCTCTCTCAGCCTCCTTAAACATTATGTGCTCCTAAAACCTGAATCACCTCAGTGGACTAGCTCAAATATGTCAATTACTTGGGGAGCTCAAAGCTGGAGGCAGTATTCACATGTGGTCTCACAAGTGCCAAAGAGAGGGGAACAATCCCTTCCACTGGTATGATAGCAACATTCTGATACCACCCAGTATACAGCTGACCTTCTTCACTGCAAAGGTACACCACAGACTCATGTTCAACTTGGGCACTTTGCTGTTCAGCAACACTGCCTTCTGGCCAGCCAGCAGTCAGCCTGTATTGTTGTGCATGGTCTAGATACAGATATTTTTTTTATTATTTTTTCTTCATTGATCTTCATGAGGTTCCTGGCAGCCCATTTCTCCAGCCTGCTGAGGTCCCTCTAAATAGCAACCCTAACCTCCAGCCTACCGACTGCTCTTCCTCAACTTGGTATCATCTATCAGCTTGTTAAGGATATATTCTGTCTCATCTGTCGGTATCAGAGATGTTAAAACAGTATCAGCCCTACTACCAACTCTAAATAATGCCACTAATAACCAGCCAACAGATGGATCATATACCACTGATCAAACCCCTCTGAACCTAGTGGCCCAGACAATTTTCTGCCCCATCTAGTAGTCTGCTTATCCAGCACATATGTCACCAAGTTGGCTACACTAACTATACTAGAGATTGTATCAAAGTCATTGCAAAAGTTAAGGTGAACAGCATCCACTGTTCTCTGCTTATCACAGAGACAGTCCACTTATCATATAAAGTTGTAAGGTTCACCAGGTATCATTAAAAGTCAGTAAATCCATACTATCTCATCCCAAACACCTTCCTGTCCTTGGCATATGTGCCTTGACACAGCTTCTAGGAGGATTTGCTCCAAAACCTCCAGAAGACAAAGGTCACTGCCTAATAGCAATCTGGCAGCAATCACCAGCATCAAGTATACTCTTCAACCAGCTGGCCTCAAATTCTCTGGAAAAGTAACAGCACCCTGAAAACACTGACTGCAAAGTTGCTCCAGTTGTCACAAATTCATTGAGAAATCACTTGAATCCAAATACTACAGTCACTTCAGCAGCCTGTCATTTCTAAACTGATTTTCTTTCAGTTATAATGTCTTTTCCTGAAACTTAATCTTGTTTAGCTAAAATAACTTAGATCATGAAAGCCTGGTTAGGACAATGAGGTCCTTTCTTGATCCCACCTGCTCGTCCATCTGCAGAGGTTATCCAGAGAAGTTGTCAGTCTCCATCCTTGGATATATTCAAAAGGCTGAGAAAGCTGGGACTGTTCAGCCTGGAAAAGTGAAGGCTCAGGGTAAACTTATCAGTGTATAAAAATATCTCAAGGGCAGGTGTAAAGAAGATGGAGCCAGGCTCTTTCCAGTGGTGCCTAGTGACAAGATTAAGAGGCAATTGACACCAGCTGAAACACAGGAGGCTCCATCTGGATGTAAGGACAGTTTTTTACTATGAGAGTCACTAAGCACTGGCATAGCTTGCCCAGAGAGGTAACGGATCCTCTCTCCTTGGAGATACTCAAAAGCTGTCTGGACTTGGTCCTAAGGAACTGGCTCTAGGTGGCCCTGTTCGAGCTGGACCACATAACCTCCAACTGTCCCTTCCAACCTTGACCATTCTGCAATTCTGTGAAAACCCATTTTGTCACATGACTTTCATATAGTGTTCCAGTATTTTTGTGCTGCCATTATTTTTCTTCTGTGAGACTTAATTCTGGTATTAAATCATTAGCTCAATTTTCACTATGTTATCACAGGAAGACAACTTCTTTCTTCCAGTTCTGCATCTTGCTTAACTTCATTTGAGATAGGGAGACAAGAAAAGTGAGGAGGAAGAGGGAGAAGGGATTGGTTTCTTCTCCCTAGCCTTGTTAACTAGCTTCAACTTTGTACAGCTGGATTTCCTGGAAAACAAAACCCCAGAAAAAGAATTCTGAAGCAAACTGTTTCAATATGTATTTAGAAGGAACATATCTAGGTAAGCTTACTGGTTTTACTCATATGTATCTTTTCCATCCTGTTTGGTAGAGATGGCTTCTGTTCTCCAGCCCCGAGAATGTAGAGTGACCAAAATGCCCCAAAAGAGCTACGGATTCTACCTGCGTATTGAGAAAGACACACCAGGGCATCTCATCCGGAGTGTGGAAAAGAACAGTCCAGCTGAAAAGGCTGGCTTGAAGGATGGAGACAGAGTCCTCAGGGTTAATGGTGTGTTTGTAGACAAGGAGGAACATGCACAGGTACATCTCTGTTTAGTCTGGGATCCATACCACTCCCCCATTACCCAGACCCACTGCCACTATGTGAAGCTTTCTCTTCCAGTTTTTATGGCAGCCTTGGCTAGGAAATCCAAGAGCTGAGTCATCTGCTTGGAGTATCTCCCTGCATCATTCATTACCCATCATGGGCATGAAATGTCTTTGAGGTGCCTCCAGAGTGCATAAGCAGAAACAAAAACAGCAGGCAGTGCAACCCTTCTGGGGAGAGCTTTTAGGTCAATCACTCTAACACCTGCTCGCCATTTCACCTTGTCCACTACAGGTGGTAGAGATTGTCAAAAACAGCGGGAATTCTGTTGTACTACTTGTTCTGGATGATACATCCTATCAAAAGGCAGAAAAGGAGGGAGTGAACTTGGAAGAGCTGGGTCAAAAGATGTCCACAGGACAGCAGGAGGAGCAGCAGTCCCCACCGCCCATGGCCAACGGAGCAATCACTGCAGTTCCACAGCCCCGGCTCTGCTACCTGGTGAAGGAAGAGAAAGGCTACGGCTTCTCTCTGAAAACCACAGAAGGTGAGAGCCTGAGGAGAAGAAATGGTGTGTGTGTATATATGTGTGTGTGTATGTATATATGGTATGTAAGGCAGCAGGGACAGAGGCAACCACAGTTAACACATGGAGGCCAATGAAGACACACAAACCAGTCTTGCTAACAGAAAGCAAGCAAGCAGTGGTGAGCAAGATGAGTTCAGATCCATCTCTAGTCTACTTCTGAACACCATATGCAGTGCACTGGTTTTCTGAGTACCACATTTCTTAAAGGGTGGAGAAAAGATTAAAAAAAAAAGAAAAAGAGATAAAAAGAGATAAAAAAGAATAAGCTATTTTCTGCTTGTTATGTAAGCCCACTTACCAAAACCAAATTTGCAGTCCCTGCTCAAATAGCAGATATACACTCAAGATGCTACATGAAGTCCTGTTCCATTCCTTCAAATCACCTCAGGAACTAACACACAGGGTTCTAGACAGCTGTAATAAGCACTTTTCTGACCTGTAAGTTATTTCATTTAGAAAGCAAGGGATTTTGAACCTCTTCCTACATATGCCTTTCTTCCAAGGCCAGTCAACAGCATAGGGAAGCCTTCTGGAAAGTATAATCTCTGAAGAGGGTCTTGTAGAATGCAACAGAACTGAAAGACCAAACATAGAAGCCTTCCAAACACAGGAAATTATGAAATGTATACAACAAGAATAAAAGCACCCTTTGCCACTCTTGGTAGAGAAATAAAAGATTGTTTGAGCTGCAGATAGTGAACAAATGCCCCCACGCCCCCAAAGTGATTTTTCTAGGACAGAATTACGGGTGTGTCTGTGTGGAAGGTTTGTGGTGCCACTGTAATCTGCACATAAGCAGAGACCAAGAGTCTCTAAGGACTGAGTTTCTTTAACCATTAAATTCAGGCATATTTCAGTGACTTACCCTGTGTAATGAGTTTTCATTTATTTTAGGACAGAAAGGGTTGTTCATAGTAGAGCTTTCATCACAAGGAGCAGCTGCAAAGGCTGGTGTCCAAAATAACGATCGCCTGATTGAAATCAATGGAAAAAATGTGGAAAATGACACACATGAGGAAGTGGTGGAAAAGGTATTTGTTTGTATAGTGGTTCATCTTCTGTTCTGGCCCACTTTCACAATAACCTATCAGGGTTACTGAGGAGGCAGCTCTGGCTGATTTGAATGCTTCACAGTAAATCTTGGAAGCTACAGTTTGTGTATCATCAGCACAGCAGAGTACCCCTCTGCTTTGGCTCTGTTGTCAAGCAGCCTCTTGAACTGACTCTGAATGAATACTGCCATCAAGACAGGCCAAAGAATTTTAAATAACAGAAGTATACTGCTGCCAGGAACCCTTTTAAATAAATCATGCTCTGTTCCTAGAAGTCCTGGAAATAGTCCTCGTGGTAAGAAGGCAAGTCATCAAATGTGGTTTTCAGAGCAGAAAGAGGGGAAACTCTCTGATGATACAGTCAGAGTGAAACAGGAATAAAACCATGAATTCCTAATTTTAGACAGTAGTTCCTTTCTCCTGTTAATAAGTCCCAAACTAATGAAAATTACTATACAAGTAATTTCACTACCTGGCCTCAGCTGCAAAGAACACTGTTAATGAGGCTTCCAGCTTTCCACTACTGGCAGTGCATAAAATGCAGCTGGAAGCTTAAGAGATTTCAGAGGAGCATGAGACAGGCAGCACATGCTCCAGCATTCCAGCATCACAATTCAGTGCACACTACTAACTATGGAACTGTGCAACACCTGTGTTTTGTTGAGCTGTTATAAAATCAGCAGCAGAGTGACATTGGTTAAGATGAGTAAAGAGGGTACTCATTAAACTAAAAAGGAATGAGAGAAGGATGACCTTGGAGAGGTTGAACAGACCCAAGGAAAAAAAAAAAAAAAACAAACAACCAACCACAAACAAAAAACCAAACAAAAACCGAAACCTCAGAATCAGTAATACAGGGAGCTGGAAGAAGACCAAGAGTGACAGAAACTTGACTCTCATCACTGTAATCTAAAATAGTGGTACAGATTACATGATCTGCCTATATTGTAGAGTTCCACATCTAGATATGCTAAGCACTATCTACTGAGGCTCACTGGATTCTACTGGCACTGTATGCCACCCTCATGACATTCCCGAGAGGTCAGGAACACAGTATGAAATACAGAAGATTTCCTCATGTATATACTGGATCTTACATGCCCAAGATCTTCTCATGGTCCAAATTTCTGACTAGAGGAAAACAAACAAACAAACAAACTTGTAGTAGCATGGCCTACACCTTATGGCTCATTCATCAACAGCACCCACACACCACTAGGTACCAGTACAGCAGTTACCAAAGTATCTACAATTCCCACATAGTTGCCATTGCTGAAGGGGTGACATCTGAGACTGTACATTTACTATTACAGGTAAAGAAGTCTGAAAATCATGTTATATTTCTACTTGCAAATGAAGAAACGGACCACTATTACACAAGCCAGAAGATGGTACTGAGCAAAGAGAGCGCTAACCTAAGATTGCTTCCCCTCAAACCACGACTTATTGAGATCCAGAAAGGAAAAAACGGTTATGGCTTTTATCTACGGATGGAACAAAATACTGGTGGTAAGAACCAAGTTAACACACTGACCATGACATTCGTTATACAGTTTCTTCCTGTACAGGATTTGCAGAATTCATTCTCTTTGGCTTATTATTGGTCATCTAGGAGAAGTCCTCTATAGACGTGTTGCAAACAGGGCTACATCAGGGAAATGGTCTCGATCTGAAGTGCAATTCTGACCATTTGCCTTTGCCATACATTTTAATGTCTTTAAACTTACCAAGCATATGCCTTCACATCAATCTTTTTACCCTCCTGATCTTAGATCATGTAATCAAGGATGTTGATTCTGGGAGCCCAGCAGCCAAGGCAGGTCTCAAAGACAATGACATCTTAGTAGCTGTCAATGGCGAGCAAGTGGATGGTCTGGATCATGGAAGCGTAGTGGGAAAAATTAAGCAGTCTGAGGCAAAAACCACACTGCTGGTAGTGGATAAGGAGACTGACGCCATGTATAAACTGGTAAGAAAATGCAAACTACTGCTAAGAATTGATAATTTATCATTATGAAGAGACATATGCATCAATGAAACATCCAGTCTGCTCGGACAGGTACTTCTTCAACTTGCAGGAAATGTCTAAGATACACCAATAGTTCAGCAACTCTCCTTGAACTTGTACAGCAAGTCACTAAACACCCACATTTTTGGCCTCCTGCAGTATTTTATAGGCACTATTGGAATAATTCTAAATTTAAACCCACCACAAGAAAGGTTAGAAGTTTAAGACAGCAAATTGAGAGCTACATGGCTGTGTAACGATTTATGAAAAAAAACAAGTAAAATTCCCTTCTTGCACAGATCCAACACTGTAGTTTTCCACTCAGACAGAAATTAATAGCAAAGAGCTCTTCATTGCAGCTGAAGTCTGAGTCATTAAAAAGGTCTCAAACAAAACATGTTGAGCATGAAAGCCCACTACAGACTTCACAACAGAAGTTTTTATGTTAACAAAGTTCTGTCGCTTTTTCCAGGCTCAACTTTCCCCCTTCTCATACTACTACAAAGCAAAAGATCCAACTCCAGCTGAAATGGAGGAAAGAGTGGAGTTGCACACTGAGCAGAAAGTGAACCACAAGCCAAGAATCTGCAAGATGGTGAAAGGGCCTAGTGGATTTGGCTTCAGTTTAAACATGATCAAGAACAAGCCTGGACTGTTCATCAATGAGGTATTAACGTAGAATGAGGAACATGGAAATGCTGAAGTAAACTGCCAGACAGCTTCCTCCCTTCCATCCTGCAAATACATTCAAGAAAAACCACAAAAGACATTTCTCCTCCAGCACTCTCAGATAAGAGCTGTTAATTGTTAAAGTCAGACTGACACTGTAGGACCGAGATAAAAAAAAAGCCCCAGAAAACATTCCTCATTCTGATAGTCATCTAAAGGGAAGGGGAATCCAGCTTTTGCATGATTTTTGTTTTTATTAATGAGGCTGGCATGCTAGAATTAGTATTTTAAGTAGATTTTTTTTGACTGTAGAACATCTTAAATGTAAGAAAGACTCTTTCACTCTGCTCTACCCTCCTTCTATGAATTCCACAGCTGGCAGAAGTCAAACCTCTGCTGTCTCAAATTATGTCTGTGCCTTTAGATTTCTTGAGGGGAGGGGTTCCATCCATTACTTAGGAATCTGTGAAATGTAGTAAAGTTAAATTTAAAGTTCCTGGACAGGTACCTGCAAATAAGAGAATTGGTTTTCCACCTGTTTTTGTGATTGTACTATGCCACATTTCTATAACAGAAGTCTATCAAAATCAAGATGCATCTTAGATCTCAAACTGATGGGTTCCACTGTTTATTATGTCTAGGCCTATCACCTCTCCCAATTAGTTTTTGCCCCACAAATCTTCCCTTCCCCATGCTTATTTTGCCATCTTGTAAGGAAAACAGTAACACAATAGTCTAGGTCACCATCAGTCAATGTATCTTTCCAAGTTTTATGCTAATATCACAGTTTGAACTTGCCATTGCAGGTACAAAACCATGGGCCAGCCGACACAGCAGGTGTTGAAAATAATGACTTTTTGGTGGAAGTGAACGGGGTGAATGTGATTAATGAATCCTATGACAAAGTGGTGGCAAGAATCCAAGACAGTGGTGACAGACTAACGCTACTGGTGTGCAACAAAGATGCTTACAAATACTTCCAGGGCCAGAACATTCCCATCACAGCCTCTATGGCAGATTCAGTCCATGACACTTTTGAACCTCCTGCTTATACAGAAAACTATCCATCAGAGCCAAAGCGAAACTCACCTGAACCAAGGGAACGGGTAAGTAATACTGCATTAAGCAGAAGTTGAGGGAACATCTAGGGGATATGAAAAAAACTTTTTTCAGCTAGTATATATTCCTGAGCTAGGATTTTTAACTGGAGCCTGTATTTTTACAAGTCCGTCTATGTTATTAAAAGGGAAGCTGTGATCCGATTATCATAAACAACTCTTCCTTTCCCCACACATAATACAGGTGAGTATCTTTAATGCAACATTAAATCACAGAAAGGACACACATACAAGACATTTTATGGCACAAGATAATCCAAATATGATAATCCTTAATAAAGATGGGAAACACAATATAATCCTGAAAGTGCAGGGAAAAGAAGTGCCTAAATACACCAAAAAACCATAAACCATTTCTGGGGAAATCAGGTGAAATATTTCAAAACAGATCTTTATGTAGAAGGAAGAGCGACTGATACGTTATAATGACATTTTCTAGGAAATGTGCTGGCTTGAAATTATTTAACTTACTTTATGCCATTAAAAAGAATCTGAAGCATGACAGAAGTCAGAAAAGCAGGAAGGTATTTATTCCTGACACAGTCATTTTGAACCCTCTGTGTGGTCAGCCTTAAATATTTAAATGCTTCTTTTCTGATCATGCAAAAGAGACAGATAAGGAAGAATCAGACCAATACTGTCTCCTATTCATTTTTCATAAGCCTTGTCTGCAAATGTCCAGCTGTGAGTTTTTTCAAAAGTTTCTTAGTCACCAAGCTGCATTTTGCAGATCTGAAGTTAGCACCACTTTTGTGTACAAATTCAGCAGGTATGGGACTTAAGCAATAGGAAACCTCATTGAACAAATTTCTCTCTAAATGTACTTAAACAGAAAAGCACAACAACAGCAAAAAAAAATAATAAAAAAATAAATCACATTTGTTGGCTCATTCTGACATCCAAACAAGTACATTATTAGTGCAGATGACAATAGGAGTCCTTCATAACACTGCAGACTATCAAGCATGTTCACAAACTGAAAAATAATCAGAATGTATCTGTTACTCCTCTGCAGGCAAGCTCATTCTCTTCTTCACAATCAGCTGCCTCTACAAGAGCAGACAGTGACAACAATGATGACACAAAGTTGTGAGAAGACCAACTAGGCCAAGAACAAAAAAAAAAAAGAAACCTACCAAATCCTCTTTCTTCAATCATTCTTTGCTACATCTCCCAGAACGTGACTATTCCTAGAGTGCCATACCTGTAAAGGACTGCAATCTCATGCTGAAATGCAGCTGCCTGAAATAAACACTTCAGTGTAACTTGCATTCATTTAACACACTGCAGTTGTACTTCATTGGCTTTCTGCCTTGCAAAGCAGGCAGTCACTTACTTCTGTAAAGGCTTAAATAACTAGAAGTATATAATTAAGTATACTGCAGCAGAAGGTGAAAACATTTTATAGATTTGTTAAGCATCTTAGCCTTTTAAGGATAAGCTCTTAATAAAGAGCAACTGATTTCTCCCCATCTCCCAGGAGAGGCAGTTCTCCCCCTAATTCAAGTCCATCAACTTGATCTCCGAGGCAACTCTTCTGTGCTATATTTACAGCAGTACAACTGCTGTGAAATGGCATAAGCCAATGTACTCTCTGCATTATGCTCCTTTCTCCTCCTAACATTGCAGAAATTTCTTTCAAATATTAAGCTAACTTCATAATTCATAACTCAAGATGTTTAAACACTATTCTCTCTCTGCATACAGCTGTGGATCACAGTACTTAGAATAGCATACACAATTCAGTCATGCAGGTTTGTCTAACTTCAACAACACATTGTCTTGAATGTGACATAAATGGCTCTGTAACACTGCTGACATATACTTTGCCTCCTTACTGTATACCAAAGACAACACAGTAATAAACTGTTTAGAGTGGCTATTTTTTTCCCCCAGGTCTTACTCTTACCACCTATGCTTTGTGCTCCAGAACAATTTTAAAATAAATGAAGCCTAGGAGAGTGGTTATAGGAAGCTGAAAAGTTTAAGTCACATGAATAAAATTTACTTCTATGCCTTGTATTACATCAAGAAGGGCTACTGTAGAAGAATACACGGGTTGTGGGGAACACCAAATTTACAGTATGTAAGCTAAACAAGGCATAAATGTGGTCTTTGACTTCACACTGAACTCTAGCAAAGACGAACCCTAAACTGCAGTTTCATTTATGCAGGGGAGAAAGCAAATCCTAGCCACCTTCTAGCTCACTTCCAGCCAAATCTTTGGGGCTGACAAAAAACAACTGTGATACTTGCATGAGTTTTACAAAAGCTTATTTAATTCCACAGACTCAAACATTCAACTCCAGAATTGCCATCCTCTGAATCCCAATTATGAGTTGATTTTCAAAACAAAAATCACGTTTCCTTGGAGCTTTCTATGAAGATGTTCTTCTAAGAGTAAGAGGTCTCACCTCAGACACCCTACCATGTGAGTTCTGATGCCCCCAGATAATGATGTACCAAGGAGTGCCCTTAATCCTCAGTAATGAACGATCTCACATTCAGTATGTGCATCCCCTTTCCTTCATTCAAGCCGTGGCACCTTAACAAAATGAGCCACAGAGCTTGGTGATGACGTGTGGAAGTTCAAAGAGCCAGCTACTGCTGGAACACGCAGAATAGTCCCGGCTCTCCAAGTTTTGCAGTCCACAGGAGTTGCAGCAGTGCAGCTGAAAGGGCAGAGCGCAGTGCGTGACTGCAGTCCTTACTTAGAGGGCCATATGCTTTTCTGGGGCTTGTTTGTGTGCTAAATAGAGAAAGAGGATACTGGACAGTGCACTAACTAGGAATATCACATCAAACCAACGATGATAAAAGTTGAACTGAAGTTCTCCCAGGACTTCTGTAATAATAGTGCGATACTCTAGAGGCATACTCATCCGGATCAAGAGCACTGATGACACAAAGTACATACCCTGCAAATTAAAAAAGAGAAAGTAGTTATTGTTTCACAATCAGCTATGTGGCTAACATGGGTGAGCATACAAAGATTTTATTATGTGTATATGTACACACACACACACAAATATGTATGCACACATAAATGTATACAGGCATGCCCACTGTTCTACATACTCACCATTATCTGTGCTAAAAGCAGAACAATAACATTGGAAGACTTGCTGCTGGAAATGGCATAGAAGAACTAGAAAGAAAGAGAAAATAGCACTGCAAATAAGCAGTCAGAGAAGTCTGATGTGTCTTAAGACAGCATTAAAGGTACATACCATTCAATACTTTTTCATTTAAAAAAAAAAAAAAACCAAAACAATAAAAAGCATACTTCCTGGAGGGGTCCCTGTACCCTACTTTCAGAAACCTGCAGCCTTAGCCTTAAACATGAATCTCCCTAAGCCAGTGGCATCATGTGGTAAAAGTCATACAATGATATCTATTGAAGTTTAAGCTTTGGTACCATAAGCCAGGTCAAGACAGTGAGTCATAAGTCTCTAATGCCTTTCCAGTCCTACCAGCAGCTCAAATTAAGCAACCTAAATTCTTTTAATCTCCTTCTCATCAGCCTTACTAATAAGCCCTGGCTACAGCATCATTCTGAGCTCTTGCTTGCATTTAACATCCACATCTCTTCCCAAGAGAAATAACAATAGAGACCAAGTGGGAAAATATACTGCAGAAGGTAATTTTCCTCCCTTCCTCCCTCTACAAGTATTTATATTCAGATATTTAAAACATAAATGTGCATTGAAAGTTTATACAGTGTTTGTCCCATCTAAAGTTAAAGATCTGATAACAGCCCTCCTGGTCCAAAACCACGTAACAATCCTAGCTCTTACCTTTGTAAGTGTGATTAACAATCCTCTGATAGAGGTAACAATGATTATTCCAACAAGAATAAAGGAAATGTGCTGAGACCAGAATTTCACCTGTATCAGGAAGAAGAACACAGTTCAATCTCTAACACTAACTCCATTTACACCACATTGTATAGCTGCCAATTCTCGAGGGTCTTTTTATGTCCTAATTGTACAGATACTCACTGTAGATGGTTTTATATAAGAGACATTTCCACAGATATATTAGCAATTATTTTCTCCAAACACATCAAGAAAAACAGATTTAGCTTATATCAATCACAAAGAATGTCGCATTCATAGGGTATATTTTCAAAGTGTAAATGACAGAACACCTATGCACAAGCAAACATTATTACTCTAGTTAAATATATTAATCTAAGCAAGTTGATGAATGTGTTTCCATTTTCAAAGAAGCAAATCACTACCTCGCTGGCAAGACCACATTACCACCCCAGCATAAAATCAGTGTAAAAGCAAAGTTCATGGTGCATTTCCTTCCCTCAATAAATCAGAAGTCAAAGACACAATCTCAGGGCTCTATCACTCTCTCCCTAACAGCAGTATGATTTTATTTAGGTAATACAGGAATTGACAAAAGGCTGTAAGAATTAATAAAGTCTCACATCGAACTGGATTCCCAGATAATTTACAGTTATCTCAATTCCTCTTGTGACTGGATCTGTCTTCCCCACACGGTCAAATACAATATTGATGGTTGCCTGCAACAGACATATGGATTCACATTCAAACAGAAAACAAAAGCATACCTCACTTTGTTACGCGTGAGACACATGCATAACTCTTACTTTGTACCCCCAAGAAACGGGGCAGGGGGCAGTCAGATTGCCTAAGGAGGTACAAAATGCACACATGTAAGAATTGCTTGTCTAATGCTCTATACAAAAACACAGATCCAGAGCTTTATTTCAATAAAGGGCCAGCTTCTTTCAGAATTTCCAGAAGCAGGATTTTAAGGAAACTGGAGCATTACTTGATGAACTGCATGTATAACACAATCTATGCAGGGTGTGACATTTGCATATATCCACACAAAAAAAGCATTAAAACGTTTACATACCATAAAGATTTTCCAGACACAGTAGATGGAGAAAAAGTAACCCAAAAAATTAAAGTATTTTCCCTGGAAAGTTTTGGAGTACTCTATTCTCTCCTAGAAATACAGAAGGAAGGAGGGGAAACAGAACACACAAAGAAAAGTATCATCTCCACAATCACCCATAGCACAAAATTTTAACAGAGCACCAACAGTAGCAGCAAGCACAGCTTTATTCTTCTACACCTCAATTCAAATATTTCTGAACTCAAAAGTTTTAATTCAAAAATTTCTTAATGGCTTTAGGGACATGAGGCATATTCCAGCATGCACCTGAACTGGAAAGAAACTGCCATCTAGACCCAAAATTAAAGTAGTAGATCCTCACTGCACCACATCACAACATTTCAACATTTACCTGCTGAACAGCTTTCAATTTCTCGTAACAAACAGTCTCTTTCAAACTACTCCAACCTCCCAACACGCATGTGGTCAGTTACTTTGCTATGTACCTTTGTTGCATGCAAGTCAGCAGTTTCCAGAAAAAGCTGCCGACTCAGCTCTTCTAGGGCATCCACTTCTTGCTGGATGAGGGACAGATCTGGCAAACCAGCACAGTCAAGGCTAGAATACGTCACAGATTCTTAATTAAAAACAAATCATTCCCCACCTTCAGCCTAAGGGCCACATCTAACAGTCTGACCACTTTTTTGATCCAGATCAGTTTCCTAATTGAGTCTTAATGCTCCCTGTTAACACTGCACCCAAAGAAATCTCAAGGATACGTATATTACACACTACTCCACTTTAAGAGGGTAGGCAGTACACAGTATTTAGGCAGTCAGGCAACAAGCTCTTTATTCCGCTGCCTGGGGAACACACCACAGAATAGAACCAGAGGTCTCAAAAACTGCTGTTCTGTTTTGAACAGTGTCCCTTGACACTGAAGTGCATCTCACAATACATCACTCTCACATTATCTCCATAAATAAAACTGCTGAGTAACTGCTCTAAGAGATTAGTGATTCTTATGAAAAGTCTTGTCAAATAGCCAAATTCTGATTTCAACAGCTAGTGGAAAAGGAGAGGAAAAAAAAGAGTCCTCAGCCTTAAATATGCAAACTGCACACTTTAGGTGGTCTGGAGGAAATTACTGATAGGCAACCATAAGTTAGAGAAACACAGACCCTTGTAATTCCCAACAGATTCCTTCTACCCCTTTCATACGGGCAGAACAACTTCTGTTCACCTGTTCCTATCCACCTTTCTGTCACACCAGTGGCCAGCCTACATCATGAGAACAATTTATTTGGTCAACAAGTTGCTTCCTGTCCTTCTTTTCCTCACGGCTTTCCAACATGGTCAGAAAGCCAACTATAGGCTAGGCAAATTGTTCCAATAGCTCAGCCAACCCTGTTGTTTTGTTTGCATGCGTCACAGGCTCCCCAACCCAAAAAAGCGTATTTCAAGTTACGAGAAAAACATGCACGCAGGTCAGTCATATGAGCAGAGGATACATCAGAAGAGAAAGTTGCCTCCCAAATCAGTGATGTGACAGGGTAGACATCTGCAGCGTGACACCACAAGCGTGCACACCTGTCCTGCAATCTGCTGTACACTTCAACCATGCTGATGCAACAGCACATTTAAAGGGGAGGGCAGCAGCATACAACTCCCGACGTGTCACAGTAGAACTATGCGTCCAACCCCTGGGCAAAAGGTCAGACAGTACAGCACTAGACAGCAAACTTCCCAGAGACATTAAGCCTTTTGCTCAGACTGCTGAAATGTGTTGAAATACAAATGCTTTGTGACTGGCCCAACTAACACTCTTCCTTCCAAAACAGAAGAAAGCTGGAGCCACCTCCCGAGGCAAGTGCCAGCATACAGATGAAGGATACTTTCACTGCCTGCAACAGATGTTGTAACACTTTTTATCATTCCCCAGAAACCACTGGGTTTATTATGCACTTCTCCTCTCTGGTACATTGTCCTGTGAGCCACTGCTATCCTGAAAGAACAAAAAACACAAGTCCTTAGGAATAAAATATTTTTATAAAAAAATCAAAACAAAAACATAACCAAAACCCCCCAAAAGAGTTCCTTACAAGTCACTGTTAAACTAAATTCACTGCAAACAGATGCCCCTGGCTTTTTTTCCCCCTTAGCACCAATCTTGCTTCATAACATTATCTTGATTAGCTCTGGAGTAGAGCCCAGATCTAATCAAGCAAGATTCAGTGAGACACTTCCCAAGATTTCCATTCAGGATCCTGCTTCAATCCTTAGAGGGATTTAAACCCAATTAAAAATGAAAATTCAAATGGATTTCTCAGTCGTATGATTAGCTGCTTTCCTTTCCTCAAACACATGACTCTGCTATCTCAAGTTCAGCAATTGGAAGACTTTTCATGCTCCTCTCTCCCTCGTGAACACCTCTTCTTTATCACTGCACATCCGCCTCCTCCACAGAACTGTGAGCGCTGGATGGTATGC